TTCTTGCACTGGTTCTGCGTTCGGATACAAAGTGCGTAAAAAAGTCTTTTCTAATCACCATACTTTAGTTTCAGAACACTCGACTAATCGATCTAGGTAGCTTTTCAAACTATTCACAACTCTTGTTTCTGTTCCTAAAGCATGCTGATAACCCGCAACCACTCCATCCCAGGATTTTAAATATGTATCAATAAAAGGTGATTTCCATCAATTTCGCCCTCACAAAAAAAAATCAAAACAAAAGTATGGTAAATTTTGAGCTGATTATTAAAATCCGGGCAAATTTAGATGCCCAAGCTTTTCTAAACAACCAGGGGCGGATCTAGGATTTTCTCGAGGGGAGGGGGGCGGATTTTCAAAAAATTTTCCAAAATTTTGACAACTTTTTTTAGGTCGACCAAATTGATTTTTCGAGCTCTCCCAAAGCACTGTTTTGCCCCTATTTTGGCAAAATTTTGTGCGCCGCAGGCAAATTTTTAAAAAAACAGTCAAAAAGCCGTTTTTGGGCACGTTTTGAAAAATTTTGACAAAAAAATCGCGTTTTCTTTGGCGCGCGCTCCCCCTTAAAGTTAGTATATATTGGCGCCCTAGGCGCCTTTAGAAAAATTTTAGGGTCGTTCGGCCAAAAATGTATTTCTCAAAAAGTATCAAAGGGGGGACCCTTTGGGTCGGCAGGGGGTCGAATCCCTGAGAGAGGAGGGGGCGTCCGCCCCCCCCCCCCCCGCCCCCCCCCCTAAATCCGCCCCTGTAAACAACACTTTTGCTATTTTTTTTGCAAAGAAACTGCATCCTAAAGTATCTTTCAGTTATTTTCCGAGGGTTGAAAACTTTTTGTCAACAATTTTTGAAAATGAAATCATGTAAAAAATCTGAGACTTCAATTCGAAAATTAAAAAGAAACAAATTATCCAGTAATGAAACCTTTTCTGGAAAAAAATTAGTGCTCTATATCAGGTCAATATATCAGGTCAATTAAAACAGTGTAAAAAACGAAATTAGTTGTGGTACATAACATAAATAATTCTCAAAACTGTTGTTTCACTTGATCAGTACTGACAGGGGCGGATTAAGGGGGGGACGTTTCCTCTCTCAGGGATTCGACCAGTGGTGGATTTAGGGGTGGGGGCGGCGGAGGCGGACGCCCCTTCTTCCCTCGCCCCCCTCAGGGATTCGACCCCCTGCTGACCCAAAGGGTCCCCCCTTTGATACTTTTTAAGAAATCCATTTTTGGCCGAACGACCCTGAAATTTTTCTGATGGCGACTTTGGCGCCAATATATACCAATTTTGAGGGGGGAGAGCGCGCCAAAAAAACGCAAATTTTTGGTTAAAATTTTCCAAAAAGTGCCTAAAAACGCTTTCAAAAATTTGCCTGCCTTTGAAAATGGAATCTATTTGTTAATTTTCCCAGTGAACTAAAAATTTTTCCCAATAATTCAGCTTTCTCAAAGTAGGTTAATTTTATCAAGAAACTGGTAATTATCAGTAGCGGATTTACGTGGGGCAGGGGGCGGACACCCCCCTCTCGTCAGGGATTCGACCCCCTGCCGACCCAAAGGGTACCCCCTTTGTACTATTTTGACATATCCATTTTTGGCTGACGGACCCTAGAAAATTTTTTTGAAGTCGCCTTATGTGCCAATATATACTAATTTTGAGGGGGGAGCGTGCCAAAAAAAACACTATTTTTTCGTCAAAGTTTTCAAAAAAGAGACTAAAACGCCTTTTTGCGCCTGTTGTTTCAAAATTTGGGCTGCGCAGAAAATTTGGGCAAACAGGGTCTTTTTACTGCTCTGGGAGAGCTCGGAAAAGTGTTTGGTTGGTCTAAGAAAAAGGTCAAGAAAGTTTTCGAAAGGTTTTTGAAAATTCGCGCCCCCCCCCCTCTCGAGAAAATCCTAGATCCGCCCCTGAGTACTGATAACCTTAGCCACTTCAATTCGGGTGGCCACAAAGAAATGAGAAAATAGTGAATTCTTAATATTGTCATCAATGAGGCTACTATTTTTATCAAAAAAATGTGTGCTTTTTGTGACTGCTCTGTATCATCTGTATTTAAATGAAAACAAAAAAAATTTCAACATGTTTTGCCCCATGCTATGAAGAATACAAAGTGAATTATTTTGCTGCATCTAGTAATGACCGAAAAGGCAGCCCAGTTAAATTTGGTATAATTTTTGAGCCATTTTTTGCACCGCTTACGCTGAGTATGTCGCGCATTCCAATTTCATGTCCATTAAATTTAAAAAAAAATGGTGTAAGCTTCATCAATCTATAAAGAAATCTATCATTAACCGTTAAGTTAAGAAAAGTCAAAGTTCTTCGACAAGAACACGAGGCACAAATAATCTTTCATTATCTTAGATTTGTAAATAGATTTTACTTGATAATTTGGTTGTATTGTACAATTTCTGGGTCCGTTTCAGTTCTTTTTGTTCTGCATTTCAAGGAATATCTTATTGTTACGTTTTTAGTCCCCAAGAATTACTTGCCGGTTCAAGAGAGGTGTTTGATTTGTTTTCATTTGATGCTATCTTTTTTGACCGACAGACTTCGAGTTTTGTAAAAGAAAAAATTACAATTACAATATGTACCGCACTAATGTTTTTTTGATACAATCTTTTTCGTGTTGACTTTGAAGAAAGTGTTCAGGCGCGGCACTGAAAACTTTACTGCAGAAATTCTTTGTTTTTGGCCTCCGGGGAGCTCTATACTTCATAATGAATGACCTAAAAACAACTATTACAAATATGTTCATAAAATCGTCTACAAAAGAGTACCACTGGAAACTGTTTTTTTCTGATATACGGTTGGATAGTGTGTTGGTTGTTTTGTACCGATTATGGACTGCTAGTTTTTTCAAGCTACCAGTTTTTTTTTTCAAATCGGATTATCGTGATTACTTTTTTATTGCATCTTCAAGGCGCTTGAAACTCTGAGATAAAAATGGAAATGAGTTCTTTGAGACTGAAATATTATCTATAAAGAAAGTCTTCTAACCCTCCTCCTTCTCTCATGTTCTCTATATTTCCAGGAGTTTGACAGGCTGTTTTCTAGAGGACCATTAAACTCACAATATTTATTTTATATAATGCTTCAATTGTTAATGGGATGTCAACGCCAACCGCACAGAGCCCAAATATTTATCTGTTTTTTATTCAAATCACCAACTATCTCCCTTTTTATCAACAAGAATTGAAGTATATTCAAGGCTCTTTTTCTGAGTACAAAGTAGAACCTGCGTACACTATCCTAGTCATAACATCTCCACCTACTTTCGTTCGGGAATTCCGGTTGTTCAATCTGTGTTCTCTGTTAGAATTTAGAAAACTAGGATATTTCCTGAGTAGAACTTGAAAAAGGGCCAGTTCTACCCCGGAAGCTAATGAAAATAAAATCTGAACTAATCCAACCGGAATTTACAAGGGTTGAAAGAATATCTAACATGGCATATTGAATTTTGAGACGCTCTTGGATCTTCTCTTTTCTGTTTATTTTGCACCGGGTTGACTTTGTTTTGCAACATCAAAACAAAACCCTACCTGAAAAAATCAAATCCTCGGAAACATGGGGGATTTGTAATTAAAGTCAAAACATTTCGAATCCAGTGATTGTAACGCATGCTCAAATAGCACAAACTCTAAACATTAAGGTGAAAATTTTTTTAATTTACTGTCTGACTTTTATCAGAGCAAGGATAACTGACTGCGATAGATGTCCAACTTATCCGGTCTTTTTATTGGTCAGAAATTAGCACTCTCTCTGAAACAACCAGACAGAGATCAAATGCAATACTATCTTGGTTAAAATCTAACAGATTTTGTGCATGACTTGCACTTCGGCGAGAAAATTAAATTCGAGACTACAAAAAACGAAACTATAAAACAGAAACTATAAAAAATGAAATCAAATGGTTTTATCCGAAGTCAATCGTGCTTTATGGTCTTTGTAATTTCAGATTTGAATCGTTCGCTAGGTGTTTTTCATAAAATTTACTACGCCAGAGTATCAAATCTGCCCATTCGGGGCTCATTTTTCCGGAATGAAAAAAAACTTAAAAGGTTTTTAGTAGGGTATGCTCTCAATTCCGAAAAACAGAAAGCCAGAAGATAATATTAGCCGATCAGAATTTAGTTTTGAATACTCTAGTATAAACGAGAAATGAGTCAATTTCGAACAATTTGAAGGATGTTAATTGGCTCAAAGTTTCGGGCATTCGGTCCTCAGAGCGTAATAATAGCTATTATTAGTCGGTTAGATCTTCCGTTTTGTGAAAAAGGATAAGTTACTACCTGCAACCGGTTTTATACTGATTATGTCAGATATTGACTTTTTAACAAGCCCAAAAATCGATTGAAACCGATTGTTTTTTTAAGTTTTGATGGTTTTTAGTATTTTACAATCACCAGTTATATCGATTGAAAAATATATTTTGAGGCAATAAAATTTTAAAATTCCTGTATTAAAAACTGTGAAATTCAGTTGTAAATCAAAAAACTGTTTTAAATCAATTTGAATTAATCATAACCTCAGTTTTGTCAGTGCGGGTGGGCTTCAGGAGGGATTCGTTAGAAGGTACCATAAAAGGGCGTATATTTAGAACTAGTGCATTATTTTTCTGCAGGTCAATCAGATAAATCGTGAGATTTTTGAAGCCCAGTCAAAAGCAAATTTTTATCAGCATTAAACGATTTTCATAGACAACGAGCATCGATAAACACGTTTGAGGTTTAAGTACCAAGGTTTATTTTGTTCAAGGAAGTTTCTCGATGCTGAATGGGGTTCTAAAGCTGGAATAGTTCAACTGGACACTGGAGTCGTAAATTTGCCTTGGCAGCATGCTCAGATACTGAATAATTTTGGAAAAAGCTTCAAAAGAATTGGTTGTACCTTATGGCGATATTTATGTTTTGAAGCCGAGTAAATTAATTAAATGGAGTGTGAATTGACCTAGAATAAACAGGGCAGATGGGTTCAAATGTTTTGTTTGCATCGGTAAACACTGTTTGATATTATGATAATTGACCCGAAATAAAGCTGTGAGAAACAAATGGGCCGTATAAGTCCTTTTAGCCGCGAGGGATCAGTTTCTATCAGGAGCGAGGTGGGTCTACTATAAAATTAAAAAATATATTATATATTTCTTAGAAATTGTTTTAAATAGAATATCGTCGTTGGATCGGGGTGGAGCGATTTCAACGCTCTCAAAATTAAATCACACCGATTTAAACAAAAAAAACTTCATTTGCAACGAAAACGTGCTTTTGATTCGGCAAGCAAATCACTTTTTTGAAATGAGCAAGAGTTGTCTTATCACAAGAGTTGACAAAAGTTTCCTCTGAAAAATCAAGTTAGAAAAAAATTTCTTTTCTTTTTTTTCAGCGCGTAGGATTATACGTTGGGAACGGTATACAGCGTAATGTGATACCGAAATTATAACTTTAATAACAATTGTTTTTTTTTCTTAAGGGATTTTCATGCATAAATGTGGTCGATAAACAAGACCAACATAATCATCATCATTATCAAAATTTATCTCTTAGATGATTTTTCGTTTTTTTTTCAAGCTAAAAGTTCATCTGGCCATGCTGATCTATCAACAAAGATGATTAAGACCAGGGGCGGATTTGAGGGGGGGACCTTTTTTAAGGGATTCGGCCCCTGCCGACCCAAAGGGTCCCCCTGTGGTACTTTTTAAGAAATCTATTTTTGGCCGACCGACTCAAAAGTTTTTCTAAAGGGGCCTTTGGCGCCAATATATACTAGTTTTGAGGGAGAGCGCGCGCCAAAAAATAACGCAGAAAAGTTCGCCAAAACAGCGTCTTTTTGGTTCTTTATGAGAGCTTGGAAAATCAATTTGGTCGACCTAAAAAAATTCGTCAAAATTTTTGAAAATTTTTTGAAAATCCGCCACCCCTCGAGAAAATCTTAGATCCGTCCCTGATTATGACATAACAATAACCATCAACCATCTCTGTTTTATTTGGCTGTCATAACCAATGATTGTAGTGAAAAATCATAAATTCCATTAACTTCTTACAAATTGTAAAACTACCTGCTACTTTTGAAAAATTCATAAAAAAAAGAGTCTTTTAAAATTAAAAATAAAGCACAATAACATAATACCAGGGGAGTTTGGCTCCCTTGAAAAACTTTCATGCATCGATGCAATTTGACGAGTTACTGAGTTGAAGCGAGAAACAAACTAACGGAAACTTATGGGCTGGTCTTCATGCTAAGTTCACGGAATGCATTTGATATAGTTGATCGTTCAAATCTAAAATTGATCTGAGAGGTTGTTAAAATTTCATAGCATCAAAACTTGGTGTGGTTATTTTAATGCGATCTTTTTTGTAGAGTTTTACCGGTCCTGTAGTTGCGTCCTGAAAACACGCGTAAACGTCGGGTAAAATTTGTTGAAATATTGAAGTTAGACCAATCAATTTGTCTAATTTTAAGAATAGGAAACGCTAAAAACTTTTTTTGTTCCGTTATTCGAAGGATATCTTTGCTTGGTCTGGTTTTTGTTCAGACTTTTGTATCGAAAGTAACAAATTGTTTGTGCTCGGGGTGGTTTTTTTCTTCAGACAAAATTCGACTTTTTAACGAGCCATTTTTACCGGATTTCTTTTATTTATCATTCAAAAGAAATTGTTATCCTGAGCTTTTTTTGGAAAGATATTTCACCTGAGATCTTTTTTGTACATTTAGTGGGTTTAAAGATTGCCATATTGGCCAATTTGCGACAATTAACGCACGACATATTTAGCACTATAAACGCGTAAGCGGAGATTTAATCCGTCTTAGAAATAGTTCCAAAGTGGTTGAAGGAAGCTTATCTGCAACAAATTATTTGTTGCCAGGAGCAACATCTATCATTTTGTACTTTATACGTCATGTGGGGGGATGATTTCAACAAAAAATCTCAAATTCAAAAGGAAAAGTTCATTTTATTTCATTACATCTAATTCTTTCATATTATTACTGCTCCATAGAAAATAAAAGGCAGTCTGAACATTCAGAGCTTTGCACTCATAAGATCAGTTTTGTTTTAATTTAGTCATTGTTCGACGTCTAAGTTATCCAAATTTGACGGAATTTTTTCTTACATCTGGAAAAAATTGTTAGATTGAGCTCAACTTTAATTAGATGTTTCACCTGATATAATTTCTCCTAAAGTTACAATGTTTGAAAAATTTATTGGTTTATGCTATTAATTTCATAAATATGAAAACAAACACAATGTATTTTTTTTGCTTTCATGTTACTTTGTTATGTTTCCGTCTCCTTCTGGGAAACCTAAACCCAGCAAAATCCGCTGTCAGATTTTTTTGCTCATTTCCTAGAGACTATGAGAAACTTCAAAAAACAGTGAGCACACCAAAAACAGCTGAAGTTTTCAAAATAATTTTGCATAAGAAATTAATATTGTGTAAGATTTTTGCAAAATGAAAGCAAAACTTTCAAAAATTGTGCAAGAAGAAAGCAGAAACAAAAGTTTCTTGCAAGATTTGCATTTCGAGAACACGGGTTGAAAAACAGAGTAGTCAAAACTACCGTCTGCTGAAAAACCGGTCTGCTAAATCACTTTGCTAGACTTTATGAGAAAATTTGTAGTGACACTATTTCATTTAATTAAACCAAATCTTTTGAACTTTTTTACTGCGGATTTCAAGATTACTCTCAGTTGGACACTTCGAAGACTATTTTTTGATGGACTTTTTTGTCTTTCACTCCTTGCGACGCAAGTTATCGCCTACATCTGTTTGATATTCTTTTAGAATACATATATTCCAAAATGATTTCATATGTTGTTCTTTGTTTCCTACATTTTTTTTCTCATCTCGATCCTCCAAGACTTCATCATTTTTGGCATGGGTCGAGCGATCGACTTCAACTATGTTGCAAGGAGCTCAAGAGTGAAACTAGTTCTTCATCTGACGCATAATCCAGTTTTGCTGTCTTTGATTTTACCTGAAGAACAAGTCCGGGGAAATTAATTCGCCCTTTGGACCGACTTCTCTAAGCACTTGAACTCACTCTAAAAATATTCTATGGGTCAAATTAATTTGATTATACACTTCATGGTGAAACAATTCCCTAGTAGTTTTTACTGTTCTGTTGTAAGTTGTGTTAATTGAGCCGACAGATTCAAAAGTCGAAAAGCTACGAAATGCATTAGAAATCGCAGGGAAATAAAATAATTTACAAAGGTGCTCGGTCCCAATTATATGATCAACTGTATTGTATCTCAAACATTCAATTTTTCCCAAACATTTTTTTTTGGATGCTTGTTTTTATTTTTGGTGCCTAATAGAAAAATAACCAAAAAAAAAATTGCATGTAGTTCTTAAACAGGGGCACAACAGCGGTTCGCCGTGATGAGCTGTACAGCTCTTGTGTTGGTCCTTTCCCCGTGGATAAAACGGTCTTAATAATTTGAAACAGAAACTAAAAGCAAATGTTTTTGAAGAGAGCATGAAACCAAGGCCATAAATAACTTTACATTACATAACCCTGACCATTCTGTTCCTTGCAGTTCGATTCCTTTGTAATAGACTTTCTACCTATAGCAGGCTGTTATTACGCACCCTTTTTGTTCCATTGTATTTAAAAGAAGGCTATCTAATCTGGGTAGTCTGTTTAACAAAAAGAAATCGGCACGAGCTTTGTTTGAAACAATGGGGATTGACATGCTGATAAAACTGCGCCCTGGGAGAAGGGAGGATGAAGACGTAGGAAATGAAAGGCGGGCTTCCATTGAAAAAGCACCCGGAGGATAAACCCGCAGAAGTGCTGGTTAATTAGAGGTTCATTTGGATCTAGCGCCATGGTGTTTCCTTCGATTGTTATTTCTTGTTATCATTCTTTCAGTGCTGATCCAATCTGTGAAAAGCCAATGGTGTTGCAAGGGTAATAGAAAAGACTATCTACTTGATGTTGATTGAGGGTGTCCGCAGGGGTAAAAAGTTGGTTGGAATTATGGACAAGATTGAAGACAGAAAAGTCTGACGTCTGAAACCTTTGAAAAGAGAAGATACAGGATTGACATTTTGTATGTCTCGTAATAATAAAACAGTTAATTAATAGTTTTTTTGCGAATGTAGATGTAAGAGGTCAGTAAAAGGCTGAACGAATTTGGGCTAAAATCAGGGGCTGATCTAAGATTTTCTCGAGGAAGGGGGGTGGAACAAAGGGTCCCCCAATATTTATTAATTTTGAGAGGGAAATGCGCGACGAAAAAACGCAATTTTTTTTTGGTCAAAATTTTGTAAAAAGTGCCTAAAAACGCTTTTTTTGGCCTGTCTTTTTTTCAAACATTTGCCTGCGGCGCAGAATGCTTGGTAAAAATGAGGTTTTTATATTGATTTGGAAGAGCTGAGAAAATCAATTTAGTCGACCTAAAAAAAATTCGACAAAAATTTCGAATTTCTTTGAAAATTCGAACCCTCTCAAGAAAATCCGCCCCTGACTAAAATTAATCAAATACCAGCTGAATTATAAACAGCCGAAAACTATACACCAATTCTGGATACAATTTAATGAAAATAATGCGTAGAGATAAAGATAAACAGCCAAGATTATGAGTCACCAGTCCCTCCACCTCTCAATCAAAAAACTTGCTGAGTTCGAGACCCCAGACAAAAAAATTAACCATGAAAGATGCTAATAATGCTAACTAAAGCTCGCACAGCGGTTCGCTTGAAGGAGACCGAATCTCATATGATGATCATGCCCCTCGTTGGAACGGTTTAATTAGTTTTAGTGTAGTTTTCTTTTTTTTTGAAGAATTGTCTGAATCCTTACTTAAGAACTTGAAGTCAAATATCCGACTTTCAAACATCAAATATACGGTTTTATTTTCTTATGCTTCAGAACGAGCAGGAGCAAAAAGTGACAACTGCAGTTTGGCAAGTCAGGGTAAGAATCTTCCTTGGTTTTTCAGTGAAAAGATTATTGCTTTTATTCAGTTAAATGTAAGCAAGCATGGTTAATTAATTTTTTTGATATAGATTAATGTTAAAATCTTTTGCATTTACGCTTCTTTTTTGTTTCCTTTAAGGATTGACATGGAAAAACTTTTACATGACGTGTGTTTATTTAGACTTGGTATGACGAGTTTCTCTCGTGGAATCCGGAGGACTTCGGAAACATTCGAGACATCCGGGTGAAGAAGAGTCGCATCTGGTTTCCCGACTTAGTCGTCACCAACACGTAAAACACAGACACAATAGACACCATATTTCACATACACGTATTACAATCGATATTTGTTTTTTTTTTTGTAGCGAACTAAAACGCTTCTTTCTTCAAAACTTGGAGTTTTAGTGTCTGCTTACATCCCAGCGACGTATGGCAACCGAATAGCAAAAAAAACCAACACATGAAATTACTTTAAACTGGCCAAGACTCTGACAGACAGCTATCATATTTTAATTCACCAAAGTCTTATTGGTCAATATAACTTAATGTCATTGGCCAGGAGAGGTTCCCCGGATTTGGTGGGAGAAGGGCGGGGTTAGAGTATCTGCATTCCGTAAGGCCAAATGTTAGCCAAAATGTTCTTCCATACTTTTTGCTTTTTGTTTCAACCATTGAAAATTGAAAATGGGGAGGAACCTTGTAATCGAGTGTTTTAGTTTTTTTTGTTTCTTTTTGTCCACGCAGAATCAAGTACCAGTGATATACCATATTAAAACCTTTTCAGTCATAATTCGAACAACAATAAAAAAAATTCCAAAAACTTTTTCCAGTGTCGAGAAAATTTTTTTTTGTTTTTTCGTCTAATTTCGAGCTGGTAAAGCGAGCGAGCATACTTACTTGTTTAATTTAAAAATTTAAGCCGTTTACAATAGCTTATTTATGCTTAATTATAGTTTTACTCGAAAAAAATTAGTTTTTAGAGTTTTTAAAACCGTTTTGGGAATCAAAAACTTCAAAAATTCAAAAAAAAAATTGAAAAAAATTTTGATTTTTAAAAAATTTTTTTAATGATTTTTTTTGTTTTACCAACGATTTTTCTTCACAATCTGTTGTCCAGTTTGCCTGTTTTACTATTACTGTCAAACATGCTTAGGTTCTAGTTTTTTTGTTCAGATCATTTTTTTTTCACACCACGCAGAAAAAATGACACTAATTTAAAAAAAAAACTTTTTTAAGTTTATAAGTTTCCAGATCCTGGTTATATCTTGCATACTTTGAACAAATATTACGAGGGATAAATTACTGAAGTGTTTGTCAGCTATGACGATTTTTATTCAGCCATTTACCTTTGAACCTATAATTTTGATGTTTTCCATGCAGGATCCAGGTGCAAGAACCAGATATCAAGATCAAACTGAACTACACGGGGGAATTAATGTGGGACAGTGCTCTGGTGCTGGAGACCAGTTGTCACATCAATGTCAAGTTCTTCCCATACGACCACCAGTTCTGCCAGATTCTCATTGGTCAGTAAATTACAGTCAAAAGAGCTGGTCAAATTTTAGATAACTTATTTAAATTTCAGTTTTTATTAGTTTAGTTATTTTAAAAAATTTCTTTACGGTTTTTCTCAAACATTCGATTTCCAAAACTCGAAATTGACATAATCTTTTCGTTTAAACTTCAATTGGGACTGAAAGATTTGAGTCTTCCAAAAGCTTATTCACGTGGTTTTTAAATGCACAACCCAGCTTTAAAAAACTCAAGCTCATGCTCCACACTTCAGCAGACAAGTTTTACGCTAGCTTATGGCAATACCTGCTTACCTGCTGCTAAAAATAAGGAATTCAATCAACCTGACATATTTGCCGAATGTTTGTTTTCTTACACTACTTCCTAGGAGGAGTCGCGTGCCTCAGTAAACACAGAATGCTTTTTCCATTATCTAAATAAACAATCAAATATTATGACTCCACTAAGTTAAACATTAATCCTGTCTTACCGATATTTGAATTGGAATTAAACGGGAATGGAATCGATTGTTTTGGCTTAAGACCCCGTACCCAACCTGTCAATATCTTGCCAATAATAAACAAAGGAGGTGCGAAAATAGCCGAGATTCATGGAAGAAGCTGCCAAAAATGATTAGAATGCTGAATAATATCATTAGTTACAAATCTACAAATCCGTTTCTTTGGTTTCATTATAGAACAGAAGATACCTAGTTATATCATGTCTGAAGTTAGGAAATCTATATTGACCTCGTATTCACGTTTTTATGAACGCGAGCTTAGAGACCAGTAAACCAAAAGTGCTTGCAGGCTTACATATGGCGTTGATGGTGTTAGTTATGGCATTCACAAAAATTGAAGAATTAGCCTAGATCGTCCTTGAGACCTTCAGATCGTAAAGAGCTGAGGTGCCAACGTGTCAGCTTCCCAAAAAAGCGGGAAATTTGATCAATCAATTTTTGCGTGAACTAGTAAAACAACTGGGTCTAGGATCACAGGCCGACTGGACTTCTAACCGAAGGAACTTTTTCTAGGATTCGGCTTCAAGTACCGTCGGCTTCAAGTCCGGCACCCAAATAACTTAGATATTTTTGGCCGGAAAATTGAAACAATTCTCCCTAAGATAACAGTTCTCCAATTTAAACAATAAGACACCCGAGTCTTGTCTCAGGGGGCGTAGCGATTAGCATGTGTGCCTACAAGAATGCGCGAATTGCTTTATTTAGGCGTTCTTTCAGCCGAAAAATAAATAAGTTTTTATTAAAAAGATTAAGTCACTGGATTTGTTAGGAGTTCAAAATTTAACTTTGCTCTGGTAAACATTCGGCATAATGAACGCCTTAAAAAAAACAAAGTTCAATTAGCAAATTTCGAGCGAGTCAACAGAATTGTTTTACTTGCGCATGCTAATAGGCCCGTCCCCCTTGTCTCACTTGCGGACTATTCACTATTCTACAAAAATATACTTGGTTCTAATCTCATATTCGCGGAGGTGAACGAATTTCAGCAGTATAAGCATTTTCGTCAAACTGACACACAATGTTGTTTCGGTAGACTGACTTTTCGGAGCGTTGAAATACTACCATTCAGATCTGTCTTCAATAATCATAAGCGCCAGCTTAAAGACAGTAAATCAAAAAATGTTTCAATGATTATTATAAATTGTTTACAGACGTATATATGGCTTTAATGATGTCACAGATAGCATTTACAGTCGTTGAAGGGTTAGTCTGAGAGATAATACCCATGTGGCCTTGTTTTCAGACGTCTCTGACAAAACGATAACTTTATCAAATAAAAGTCTAGCCAAAATGGACATGACCATATTTTTTTTGGTTTGGCGTATAAATTTTGTACTTAACTGCAAATTGTTTTGGTCAGTAATTTTTGGATTTGGATTTCTTGCCTTTTTGAGGTATCGTGATCTGGTCGGACGCTGCATGAAGTCAAAATGTGACATAAAGGGAAGCACGGTTTTCTAACACTTGCGACACAGAAAAGCTACCTCACAGTTAAAAAAGCTAATTCAACAGCTTCAATGTGTTTCAAAATCACAAAATGTGAAATTACAAAAAGAAAAAACTTAATTTTGAAAAACCAAGAGATTATTCATGAAATTGTTTCAAAAGCTACACACAGGCCCTAAATCAAATCGGGTCTTTTCTGTTATACGGCCCATATTTATCAAATTGATAATAGAGCTTCTATTTTTATTGAATATCCGAATTTTCTCACAGTGAAAGTAATTTTAACCAAGCAGATTCGAGTATTCATTTTGGTTCCATGATTAAAGTTTGGAAAAGATCAGTTTTGGTCCGTATAACCAAAAAAACCATCAAATCTAGCAGCCAGCTTATTGTGCATTAATTTTTTTTTCATCAGTTTTGACATAGGCTTTGTAAATCACAAAAAGAGCAAGACTATTGTTTTCCTAAATTTAAAATTCACACAGACAACTTTCTCTAAAAACAATGGATGTCTTAAAATAGTATCAAATGTGGTCTCTTTTGGTCTTTCTGGAAAATAATTAGCTCCAAAAGTCTCGCGAAACCAATATCAAAACAGATTATAAAAGAAATAAAAATATAAAAGGTAACAAAGATAGCCCGTTGCTGTGCAAGTAGCACAGAACATTCCGACCATTTTCTTAAAAATACATAAGACGTTTTTTAATAAGTGCCGTTTTTATTGTGCGTAGTGAGGTTTAAGGATCTGACGAAAACCTAGAAATTAGGCATAACCAATTGTCACTGTAAAATCGGCAAATTTGGCAAAAAGTTTGGGCGGCAAGGAAACAAACAAAACAAACCATGAAAACGTATGAATGTATGTATATGTTTTTTGAATCTAGTTTTTTATTCCCAAAACGACGTTAAGAAACTCAAAGAAATAGATTAACAAGAGCTTTAATTTGATATATTCAGATGACTATTTGTAGTACCTGATTTTGCGTGGAAAACAAAAAAAGCTAAAACACAACAGAGTTCAAAGTTCCTCCCCATTTTGTATTTGGAAACTACACTTTTTATGTTTCTGGTAAAGAATGTAAATAACTGTTTTTTTTTGGTAAAATGGTGTTTATTCAAAAATGGCGATAAAAAAAAAAACTAAAAAAATTGCTTGTCTTTCTACATTAGGCCTGCTCGCGTGCTTAATTAGCTCGAATTATACTGAAAATCAAAAAATTCGAAGCAGTTTTTCTCGACACGGATATATTTCGAAAACATTTTTTGCTGTAATCAATGCTGAAAGGGTATTAATATGATATATGAGTCCTACCGTTTTTTTGTTGGAAGCAAAATAAACTTGCTCGCTATCTCTTTATTCGCTCGAGTTACCCCAGAGGTCGAAGGGGTTCAAAAAGGGTTTTTCTCAACAAAAGTAAAAAAACTTTGGAAATTTTTTAGGGTTGTTCGAATTAAGACTGAAAAGATCTTAATATGACATTTCACTCAAACATTCCGATAATTATTTGTAGTATTATCTTTTGGTTTAAAAAAAAATAAATCTAAACGTGTTTTTCTCATTATTCGGAATTTTTGTTGCAAATTTTATAATGTTGGTGGAATCACAATTGATAAGGCTTAATTTGTATTATGTATCACTTGACCTACTCCATTGATTTTAGTGCCTGATTTTGGGTGAAAAAAGAAACCAACAAAAAATAAAAACTGAAGTCGGGCAAGTTTTAAAGTTCCTCCCACTTTTTCAATGGTCAGAACAAAAAAAATTTTTAAGTGAGTAGTCGCGGGTCAAAAGAGTTAACATTTAGTTCTCAACTGATGAAACGTCCGATAATTTTTGTTACAAATTTCTCTGTAACGATTTCTTATTTATGAAGTGACTGGCTGGATAAAAAAATGGAAAATAAATACTTCGAAGGCTTCATTTGAACCTTAAACTAAATCCAATCACTACTAGATCCAATTAAACTAGATCCAATGGTCACAAAAAAGTACTGGGGTGGATTAAATTCTCGATGTTCCTTCAATCTTTAGCTTTTCAATAGAATTATAGATAAATAATTGATTATGAGAAAAAAACTAACTAGTCCCATCATTAGCCCCAAAAATGTAGGTAAAAGATAATTTTAGTTCATTTATAGAACTTGATTTTTAAAACTTTACCATGACAGTCTGAAAATAATTAAATCAATCACTGCACGCGACTATGCTAATTATCTTGGTTGATAAAAAAAGTTTAAACTTTTTTGAATAAGTTCATATATCTGCTTTTGTTGAGCCTTCGAAGTTGTTTACTTCTAAAGCTCTGGACGGCGGAAAAATGTATGTGTAAGTAAAAACGTTTTTATTCCGACTGTTTACGAAGAAAATGACGAAATATTTGTGCTCGGGGTGGTTTTAGCTAGCCATTATTTTTGCCAGATATTTTTAATATCACTCAAAAAATATTGCTCTATTGAGCTCAAATTTTAAAAAATATATTTTACCTGTGATCATTTTTGGGAGGTTTGGGCGGTCAGTTTATGGGTTGTTTAAAAAGTGCCATTTTAGTACTACTGATGCGCGGTATATTTTGTGCTAATAACGTGTAATCAAAGATCTAATTCGTCTTAGATTCGTTCCAAATTAAATTGAGGCAAATTCATTGGTTTATTTTATACTTCGCTATATGAAAAACATATAGTTTTGTACTTTAAACAATGTGGGAAGATGATTTTCAAAAACACAAAAAATGTCACCCAATTTTTAAAAGCCTACACTACTCTATAGACCTTAAAGTTCTGTCGAATCATTCAGGACTTTGCCCTGATAAGAGTAATCTTGTTACTATTGCAGTCGAAATTGATTAAGTTGAGGTAGACTTGAAGCTACAGGAAAAGTGAAAGCACACCTTGTTATTTCCATGAGAAGCAATCGAGTACACGCTCTGATGATCTGGATTAGAACGCTGTATCACTATCCTAGCTGACTTTTCTCTAGTAACTGCCTTTTTTGTCGAGAAACATTATCGAGGAACGGCATTGCATTGCTATTGTGATTGAACTTTCAGGA